ATCGAATTAATTTCTATTATTAAATCATTTCAATTCGTGACGAATTAATTTTTATTAATGATTCATTTCAATTCATTTCAAATATTTCAAACTGTTAGCAATGAATATTTGTTTATGTCAACAATTAACAATGATTCTGTGTAATTTCAAAAATAAATTAAGCAATATTTTCAAAAATTACATTTGCTTTTTTTTTTATATATTGAAAAAAGTAAAACGAATAAGAAAAATATCACTGACATTTATTTTATTTATGTTTTCAACTTTAAAAAAAAATACGAAGTTTTCCTTTCTACTTTTTTACAAAAACATACTTTTTTAAATATTTATAAAATATTATCACTATCATTATCATTATTACTATGAATTATCACTATCATTGTCATTTTTACTATGATTATCACTATCGTTATCGTCATTGCTATGAATTATCACTATCATTGTCATTTTTACTATGATTATCACTATCGTTATTGTCATTGCTATGAATTATCACTATCATTATCATTTTTATTATGATTATCACTATCGTTATCGTCATTGCTATGAATTATCACTATCATTATCATGCATTTTAATTGTGAATAAATTGTATAATTTATTTATGTATGTGTGGTGCATTTGATTATTTTATTTTATACGTTCCATTCATTTTTCGCCATTTAATGATGAGCGATTCATTTTTCTAAACAATTTAAATTGTTATTTCAAATATTTCTCAATTTGTGTGTTAGAAAGAAAACAGAAATGTAATATTGTATATGTAAAAAAAAAAAAAAAAATATCTATTAAAGAGAAAATATTTTGTCTCGTTTTTTCCTCTTTTTTTTTTAAAAAAATTTATCTCAATTTTTTTTTTTTTTTTCATCTTGTTTAAAATGAAAATAAAATGATTAAAAGTTGAAAAAAAGGATATATGAGAAAAAAGAAAAATTTTTTTTAATTTCATATTTATTTTAAGTGAATAATAATTTAAATAAAATAACAGGAAGCAAAAAAAATTAAAAAAGAGAAATTATTAAAATGTATAAATCATATTTAAAAAAGAAAAAAATTCATGTTCATTATTTGTTCATAGTAGTGATATTTGAATTGATATATGTATAGTGTAAATTTAAAATAATTAAAGAATTAATTAATCGAAATTGATTGATAAATTAACCGGAAAAAAATTTGGAGAGCATAAATCATTCCAGAAAATTTGTCATCGTATATAAACTTTACTTTTTGAAATGTCTATTCCTTCATTCCTTCATTCATTCATTCTTTATTTAATTTTATTTCATTTACCACTAAGTTTAAATTCTTTTTTTTTTTCTCTTTGTTTTATTCTTCAAAAATTTTATTTATAAACATCAATCTTTTAACTTTTTTTTTACTTTAATTTCTTTGTAATAGTACTTTTTTTTTTTTTTTTTAATTCATGTTACATTAACAAATTTTGATTTTAATTATCAAAGTGAATTACAACTTTTTTTTTAAGTGAAAATTATAAACAGTGTGAATATCATTATTGTTTAGTAATTATTAATTAAGATTTATTGTTAATAATAATTATCAATTATTATTTCTTTTAATATTGTTAAATATTTCAAGCCTTAAAAAGGAAAAACTTTTGCTAATTTAACTTATTTTTCATTGATCGTAAAATTTGATGCAAATTTAATTAGTATTCAGATAAGACATGTATTAAAATAAATTTTATAAAAAAAATTTTTTAATTTGAAATAATAATTAAAATTATAGTTAAAAATTGAAATGTAGGCGTTATAAAAATAATCAGTGAAATAAATCGAAATTCCGGAGTGATTCCGGAAATGATGCGTAATTTATCTGTTATAGAGTAATTCGGAATTTAGATTAGCTTCCAGGCATAAAGTAATATACTGCATGTTTATATATTTGTTTATCTGTTCATCTGTCTGTTTGTATGTGTCTAATTATCATAAAATTAAAATTTGATTTAAAAAAAAAATTTTGTTTTTTTTTTTTTTTTTTTTTTCAAATAATATTTTAAGTAAAATCAGTTAATCATAAATTGTATATGAAATTTTTGAACAAACAATTTTTTTCCCTTTTTTATAAATCATTTTTTTTTTTCATTTACCATTCAATAATTTATATTTCTTCGTTTTTTTTTTTTTTTTTCTATTTGAATAAATTTAAAATTTTCAAAAAAAAAAGAAAAAAAAACTGAATTATTTTAATTAAATCTTCAATAATATTTAATTTTATATAAAATAAAAAGGAAATAACAATTAAAATTAAAAATGAAAAATTTTCTTTTTTGTCAAATTTAATATAAATTATTGTATAAAAAAATTTTTTTTTTATCTTTTGTTAATTCAATTTTAACTAATCTAAAAATACATTTTATCAGTTTTATAATTGAAAAGTTTATTTACCCAAACAAAAGGAAAAAATAAATAAATAAAAAACCCAAATACAGACAGACAGACAGACAGACACAGACACCGACAGACACAGACACGCACGGAATAAAAAAATATTTGAACAAATTGTGCTACATTGCGCCAACATAAAAAATGATCAAACATTGTTGTATCAATAATAATTCAAAATAGATACAATGCTAAATTCATCTTTCATGAAGAAGACGAGAGAAAGGGACAGACACACACAGACAAAGAGAGAGAGATAGTGATAGAAGGAGGGAAAAAGAGAGAGTGGAAGGATAAAAGTTATCATTTTCGTTTCAAAAAAAAAAAAAATTAAATTAATAAAAATTATTTAAAAAAAATTAAACAAAAAAGAAATAAAACATACAATATTAATTGTGTATAATTATATATAATATATACTAAAATTTAATAATAAAAATTTGAAATAATTTATGCTAAGAAACGGATCATCTTATAATATTAAAATTTAGGATTAATTATATTTATTAAAAATCACTGTGTAATGCATTTCTATTTTTAGTATTACTAATGCAAAAATATATTCAACAAACCAAAATATTTGCCATATAAATTTCTAATAATTAAGCTGATTTTCATATGATTTCTATAATTATAAATAATAAATAACAAAAAAAAAAAATTAAATTTTTTAAAATTTAGTCATCAAATTTAGTTTGTAGTCATCAGTGATTTGTAAAAAATTATTCACATTTCTTTTTCGACAAATTTCAACAAGAATTTTTTTTTTTTAAAAAAAAAAAAAAAAAAGAAATACTAGAAATGTTTGAAAATAATAAAAAATTTTACCATATGTAAATTCTTTTTCAATGTATGTTTTTTTTTTTTTTTGATAAATGCTAAACAATTTGTTACTTTTTCTTCGTTTTTTATCTTTCACTCAGATTTTTTTTCTTTTCTTCTTCACCGCTTTCTCTCAATTCAGACTATTTATTTATTTGTTTGTTTGTTTGTTTGTTTGTTCTTTTTCTTTTTTCCTTTTTATTCATTTCCCATTCCAAAAACAGTCGTTGCATTTTGATGAAACATATCAGAAAGTTTAGATGGAACGCTCAAAAAAAAGTAAACAAAAAAAAAAAAAAAAGGAATGGATGCATTTTTTTTTTTTTTTTTCATCCATTGTTTTTTAAAGAATAAACTATTTATTTATTCATTCATTCATTTAGTCATTTAGTCATTCATTCCATTCATTCATTCCTATTTCTTAACACTTTCAAAACAAAAAAAAAAAAACAAAAAAACAAAAAAGAACAATCAAATATAAAAGCAATAATTTATATCAGAGATTATTCTATTATTTATCATTGAATAATTCATTTGATAAGTTACATTTATCAGACAAATATTTTGCAGATATCAATTTAAAATTTAAAAAAAAAAAAAAAAAAGAAAACATAGTTATGTATGGATAGTATCATCTTCCGGTAGATAAATGAATCAATACGAATTGGGTATGATTGATACACTGATAGAACAATTGATAAAAGTAGATAGATTGATCAATAGATCAGATAAATCGATCAATAAATTAATATTAAATATTTTTATTCATTTCAAATCAAATCAAAAAAAAAAAAATTACAGTAAGAAAAATGTTTAGTTAGCTAGAAAAAAAAATAAAAGATGTGGGAAATATTAGCAAACATATGGGAAAGGAAATCAAAATGAATGAAATATAAAAGGAAGAAATCGAAAAGGATCCGATCCGGTATAACTGGAAGGGAATTTTTTCTTTTTTCCTTTCAGTTCCTTTTTTTTTTTTTGTCCATTCTTCTATTCCGGACAAAAGAATCCGTTTACTCTAATGTTTAATTTATCAACAAAAAAGAAAAAAAAAAACGACGAAAAAGAAAGTGTAAAAGGGTATAAAATTGATTGTAATAAATATTAAATTTTGAAAAAAAAAGTGATTAATTTTTGATAATTGTTTAAATTAAATTCACATAATAATTTTGAAATTAAATTATTTTAGTAACAGTTACTTTGCAAATTGCAACGATTTTTACTACACTTTTTTTTTTTTTTTGGTAAAATTTTTATTAAATTTAAAAAATAAAAGAATTTTAACCAATTCTATAAAAAGAAAAATGCTTAAATAATTTTCACTACATTTGTTTCTTTTTTTTTAAGTTGAATTGAAATCATTTAAAAATTATCTTAATTATATCTCACAAAATTTCATAAAATACATCATTCATTTTCAAATTATTCGAGAGAAAAATTATCCAAATAAGATTTCTTATCTAAATTTTACTTTTTATTATTCAGATGTTAAATCATACAATAAAATCTCTTTTTTTTTTTTTTTTTTTTTTGTCAACTTCTCAATTATAAATAAATATTGGAATTTATCATTAATTAATTAATTAATGATTTTTTTAAAAATTTCTTACTAATGTACCATTTGTTCAAAAATGGTATTTATCATCGTGATTTTATCAATTATCACTTTTCATTTCCGTTTTTCTCAATTTTCTCTGTCCCTCTTTTTTTCTCTCTCTCTTCCTCTTGGTCCTTCCATTTATTCCTCTTATCAACTTTCTCGAGAATGCAAAATATGCAAATGATTGAGGAAGAGAGAGAGAGAAAAGAAGAAAAAAAAACTCTTCTTTTTTTCTTCCTTTTTCTTCCTTTCCTATTTGAAAATGCAAATCATTTCTCAAAATTGATCTAAAAAAAAAAAAACAAATTCACTTCTTTCTGTTCTATCTTTCTCTTTCCTCTTTTTTATGCTTGTAAATTTAATTTTACAGGTGTTTTCATTTCTTTATTTCATTTCCCTTTCTTTCTCTCTCTCTCTTTGTCCCTCTCTCTCGCCTTCTTTTTCATTTTAAAATGATGAACAATGGAAAGAGCAATTATGGCATGTCTGTTTGTTTGCTTGTTTATTTGTTTGTTTGTTTGTTTGTTTGTTTGTTTGTTTGTTTGTTTGTCTGTTAACTAATGAAAAAATTATATGGAAGAAATATTTGTTACATTTTTTCAATAACTATCATTTATTTGCTATCATAACTTTAAATCTTCAAAACATAAAATATTTTTTGCTTTTTATTTGATAAAAAAAATAATACAAAAAAAGAAAAAGCAAAAAGAAAAAAAAAGGAAATGAAAAATACCAAAGCGTAGAAATCAGAAAATTGAGTAATAATGAAAGAGAAAAAAAAAGAATTAAATTTTAAATGAAATTTTGAAATGTTAGTATCAATATTAATAATAGTAGTAGTAATAGAAAATAAATGAAAAATTTGAAATATTAAAATAGTTTTTTTTTTTTTTTTTTGAATTTCAAAATTTAATAAATAAAAGCAATGGTTTTTGAATAATAATTGTCTTTTGTGTGTTTCCTTTTTGAATTTCAAAAATAAAAGAACAAAGGAAGGAATAAATTTAAATAATTTTTCATTCCTTTTTTAATTTTTTCATCCTTTCATAGCTTTATAGAAATTAGAATTAATTAAACATTTATGCAATAAATGATAATTGAAATTTTAATAAAAAATTTCAAATAGAATGAAATTTGTTCAATAATTTTTGTTGTTCAATAATAAAAATTAATCGACAAATCAATTTCATTTTCTCTAATTCAGCAATTTTTTTTTTAAAAAAAAAAAAAAGAAAGCAAATGGAATTAAGTATTATTTTTAAGTGTTGATTATAGAAATAATTAAAGTATCAATTTAATAAAGTCATAAAATGACAATAAATTTTATTTTCTAATATAAACTATAACAAATAAACATTTTAAATAAAGCAAGTATTATTAATTAACATTAAAAACACTTTAATTAATAAATTGAAGGAATTTTTTTGTAAAATAATGAAAAAAAACTTAATATAAACCACCGTTTATTACGTTTACTACACTTTGATAAATATATGATATAAACAAAATTGATCACAATTATAACATAAATAATAATTTATTAGTCTAATTTAAATTGAGTAATTTTTGCAAAATTTTATTCAAATATATATATGGCATAATTAAATCAAAAAATTTTCAAATAAAGTAAAAGTGAAACAAAAAAAAAAAAAAAAGCAAGCAAATTTAAATTAAATTTTACATTGAAATAAAAAATAAACAAAAATTTTGAACAAAATTTTTTGCCTCATTAATTTTATTTCAATTTAAAATTAAAACTGAATTTTATTTGATAACAGGAAAAAGAAAAAAAGCCAAAAAAAGCTAAATAGAAATTTTTTAAATAATATTTTAGTTAAAATGTAAAAGTTTAAATGTAAATTTTAAGTTTAATATTTTCAAAAGTATTATAATATTTGCTGTAAAGCAAAATAAAATAGAGTGTGAATTATTCATTAATGATTGATTTTAATTATTTGAGTGACAAATGCCACATCCTAACCCTAAAACTAAGCGTAAGCCTAAGTCACGCCTAAGCCTAAGCGTAAGTCTAAGCCTAGGCCCAAGTTTAACATTAAGCCTCCCTTATTTGAGTGACACATGTCACATTATTGCCATTTATTGATTAATTATTAGTCATCATTATGCATAGATTCGTCCGCTCTTTTGATTTTCCTAACTTTTCACTTTTGAACAAATAATAAGAAAATTGATAATAAAATTTATTTTTTCTTATTTCAAATGTATTTCACAAACAAATATGTTATTATCAGTTAGTATTAATTTTCATTTTTTTGCAAAAATTTTTTAAATTTTCATTTCTTTTCCTTTACCTTTTTGATTTTATAAAAAATTTTTAACTTCAAAAAAACAAAATTGAGGAATTTTGCTTTTTTTAAAAAAATTTTTAAATTTCTAATAACGTTTTATTAATATCAGTTAATAATGATTCTTTCTTTTTTTTTTTTTTTTTTTTTTGATTTTTGTATTTTTTCATTTCTTCTTTCATTTTTAACATTACTTTTTTAATTTCACATTTTTTTATTTGCAAAATAAAGTTGAAAAATTATTCGTAAATTTTCCTTTTATTCTAAAAATATTTGCGATAGTTTTATTTTTTTTTTAATTTTTTTAAATTTACCAACATGCTTTTTTGATTTAATATTGATTGGTGTTAAAAAGAAATTTATGCATTATCGATTCAATATAAATTATTAAAAAAAGTCAAATTTAATTTATTAATATTAATTAATATCAACAATCGCTATATTATAATTATTATGTTTAAAACAATAATAAAAAATAAACAAAAGAAAGCGAAACCGATAATGGCACATTTATTTATACTTTTTTAATGCAAAATCAATAATTGTTTATTTCAGTAATGCAATTGTTACGCATCACTACTTACACGTTTATTACGTTTACTACACTTTTATGCTTCACGGAAGCAGATTGGTTTGATGATTTAGTAAATGGCTTACATAGTAAGCTTGTCTCTGGTGCTGATTATATCAAAGATAAAGCCGCTCCAACGGTACGTGAAACGTTTGATGACGCTAAAGCTAAACTAAAAGACCCTGAAACACATCGACGTATTCAGGATTGGATTAATGATGTTAGCGTTTAGTTTTATTAAATTTTTTAACAAATGAACTAATCATTCAATTATTAATTGGAAATTAAAATTTTCTAACGAATTAATCATAATAATAATTTAAAAAAAACCATTATTATTAATATTATATTATTTTTTAAATTCAAAAAATAAAAAATGAAAATTAAATTCTTAACTTTATCAATATTTTCTACATTTTAGATATTAATTAATGCAATCAGTAATGAAAAAAATATTCAAAAATAAGCTTCTAACTTTATCAATAATATTTTTAAAAAAATCTATAGAAGTGGGTTTGATAAATCATAATGAATAAATAATAGGTATGCTTAAATTATCGAATTAAATATTTAAATAAACATTATAGAATGGCTGGAATGATAAGTGAATGAATGTTTGATTATTATCATTGATATTTGTCAAATTTATTTTATTTTTTAAATTTTATCTTTATAAAAATCAATTCAGAATGCCAATGGAATGAATTGTTCATATTAAATTTATTTTATTTTTTCCCTCTCTAAAACTTCAAATTTATTCTCTTTAATTAATATATCTGATTTTATTTATTTTATTTCGGAAATAATAAATATACGACGCATAATGCTTAAAATATATATATATATGTTACATTGTAATAATTATAGAATAGATGAATGCATAATATCGTAAAATATAATTTTATATTTTTCTAATCAAAAAGAGAAAATAAATTTTGTCAAATTTTAATTTAATAATTTATTTATTTAATAGCAATTAATATTGTACTAATGTGAAATGTTAGATTTTTTCTCTTTGTAAAACCACAAAGAGAAAAGAAAAAAAAAAAAAAAAAAAACGATGAAAACGTTAAATGAATCAGAAAATTCAATGGAAAAATTATTAATCAGAATTTTTGCGCTATTTCAATTGTAATTTTTGAAATGGAAAAGAAAGTAAAATTTTTTTTTTAAAATGATTAATTTGTTAAATAATAAAAATGTTAGCATATGTTACAATTTAAAATAATTTAAATAATTTTTAAACAATAATTTCAGGAAGCTATTCCAGCTATAAAAGCAAAAGTTAATGCATTAATTAGTTTTATGAAGAAAGAAGTGGTGCCCGAATTGCAAGAAATCAAGAAGGCATATGATATTGCAGCTGAAAGTGATAATAATGATAAGAAAAAATCAAGTTAATTGATGTGACACAAAAAAAAAAATTGTGCCAAAAATTTAAATAAAAAAAAAAAAAAAAACGAAGCAAAAAATTAAAATTCTTTTTCTTTCATTTTTTTTTTTTTTTTTTTGCATATCTTTCGTTTAATATAATAATTTTTTTTTTTCTGTTAATCATTTATCATTTCTTTTGCTAATGTATAATATCAATATTTTAGCATAAAATAATTTATCAAATAAAAAAGAAAAAAAGGAAAAAAAAAACGATTATTGTATTAATAATTTTAATGATAAAACAATGAGTAAATATAATAGCAACTATATTGATATTTAATTAAATAAAATTTAACCAATCAATGACACATTATCACTATTGATAACATCAGTGATGATAATAACATTTTACAATATCCTCAATGTCACATAGATGTGTCTGTATGCAGACAGTTAGTTAATTTGGTGACTGACATGTCATTATAATAATCAATTTGAAGGATACGAAAGATATTACAATAAAATGCTGATAATAATTTTGATGTCTTCTATTTGCTATCAAATTTTATCAATGTATCAGTTATGATCTATCATATTCTTTCTCCATCTTCCTTCTCATCTTCTTCCATGCTATCTTTTTCACTAAGAATTTAGGTAAAATGAATTTTATTAATCCATCTTTAGTGACTGGTAACTAACCATATTCAATCGTTTATCACTTAACATTCATATATAGTAGCATCGTCATCAACTATCGATGTTCACTCACATCATGCATACCTGGCAATTTGTTACCTTATTCAATTTTAATAAATTTCTATTTTTATTACTCTGTACTGTTTGTGTGCATTTGAATGAATTAGATGATAACATATCATCTAATTATGATAGCAATTATAATTATAATAATGACATTGATAATGAAAATATTACAAATGAATTGATTATTTCACTGATTGCAAACGGAAACAATAATTATAACACTAATAATGACAACAACAACAACAACAACAACAACAACAGCAATAACAACAACAATAATAACAACAACAGCAATCACTCAATGTTTATCAATGGATCGATTATTTCATTCGGTTTGTGCTTTAACATTTATCCTTTGCAATATATTTAAAAATTTTAAAATGATTGTAATTTTAAACAATTATTCATACATATTTAATACATATATCAATGAATATTGTCTGCTGTAATGTTAAATTCTTGTGACAAACATTTTCATATTTCATTGTTAATTGTTTATCACTTATCACTTATCAATGTAATCAATTTCGTATAAAAATTTACAGCAAAATATTTGAGTACGTCAAATAATTTTTAAACGAAACATTTGAGCATTAATCATTAATAACTAATATTAAGTGCGAGCAATGATTGATTGATAAGCTAATAGTATATGTCAGAAATTTTAATTATTCAATAATAATTTAAAAGTGATTTTAATAATAAATTAAAAATAATTTAAAAATGATTTTAAAAAGTATTTATTGATTTTCCGTTTCATTTATCTTTCAAATATTTAAATGATAATTTTTTTGTCTAACAGAAAAAAAAAAAAGCAAAATGATAAAAAAAGGCAATAAATTTGGAAATATTTGTAATCTTTTTTTTTTCTCTCTTTCATTTGCTTATTGTTTAGTATTTTTTTTTTCAAAAAAATTTTCAAAAAAGTTTAAATAATTCAAATTTTCTTTCCTCGTGCTTAAATAAAAAAAAAAAATTTTTTTTAAATTATATAATACAATATAATAAATTATGTTAAATTATGATAAAAATCTGTCATTTATTATTTCTTTTTTTTTTTTTTTGTTTTCAATAATTAAAAATTTTCGAATTTTTTATAAATTAAATTTTTATTTTTTGACTTAATTGCATTCTTTTTTACTTATTTATTTTTCCATATGATAAAATTATAATTTTTTCAAATTTTTCTATTTTTCTCTTTTAAATGAAATAAATAAATAAGAGAGAGGAAGGAGAGAGAGAGAGAGAGAGAGAGAGAAAGAAAGGATGAATGCAATTATGAATGAGAAATTTGTACAATAAAAAAGAAAATACAAATGAAGGAAAAAAAAGCTTAAGTCTAGACAAAATGTATGGTATTTATTCATCATTCACTTTTTAAAATTGCAAATAGTTTTAGAGATTAAACAGGAAAAGGAAAAGAGAGAGAGAGAGAGAGGAGGGAGAAAAAAAAACCGATAAGCATAAGTAAGCTTCACTGTATCACAAGAACTTCTACAGTGTTTTTTTTTTTTTTAAAAAATTCTTCTTTCAATCATTTCATTTCATTTTTTTCTTTCTTTCTCATTTCTTCCTGATATCTGATAGATTTGCATCGTTTCATTTCATTTTTCCTTTTTCTTTTTCATTTCAATAAGTAATTTCGAGATTTCTCTTTTTGAAGATATAATTTTTATTAAACTTTTCTTTTTTTTTTTTTATCTTTACTATCTTATCGTTTCATTTTTTTTTTTTTTTTCACTTTTTTATTCATTTGAGCCTTTTTTTTTTCTTTTTTTGTATTTTTTTTTTATATACTAAGTTTTTTTTTTTCAAATAAACATAAAAATAAACAAGGAATAGATGAAAAAATACAGAGAGAAAGAGAGAGAGAGAGAGAGGGAGAGGAAAAAAAATATGAAAAAGTATTTGAAGAGGTTTTTCATTTTTAAGATGAAATATATGCTTTGAATAGGAAATAATGATAAAATCGGAGTAAAGTAAAGCAATATTTCTGCCTCTCTCTCTCTCTCTCATTTTTTTGAATTTGTAAATTTAAAAGTGTTTTATTGGGTAGGTGTAAACATATACACACACACACACACACACACCTATATATAAGTCATATAAATTTACGGTACAGTATTTTTGCGCCAATTGCTTAGTTTATCTCTTTTTACCTTTTTTTTTTTTTTTCTTTTTTGCCAGTATCACTATTCGATTGAATTTATTTCTTCGGTTTTGGGTATTGAATAAGCAAGCAGAAAAAAAAAAGAAAAAAAATGAATAAAAATGTTCCACAAAGGGTGGAGCATCGTAAAAGCAAAAAAAATTGTCATCAATTTAGCTTTAGAAGAAGCACAACCATTACATTACATTAGTACTACGATTGTTATCGATAAAGGAAAAAAAAAAAAAACGATACCATTTGTAAATATTGTTTTTATATTTTTGTATTCCAATTAAATTATATTTTTGTATTCTAATTAATTTATATTTTTGTATTCCAATTAATTTATATTATTGTATTCTAATTAATTTGCATTATTGTATTCCAATTAATTTATATTATTGTATTCTAATTAATTTATATTATTATATTCCAATTAATTTATTATTATATTCTAATTAATTAATAGTTTTCTTTTTTTTTTAACTTTTTTCATTAAGTCATTAAAAATTTTACAACCAAATCATTATTTATTGTTATTGTGATTATTATGACTATTATTAATATTATTATCTTTTTTTTTAGTTATCAACAAATCATACAATCAAATAACTATTATATTATTATTATTATCATTAATATTATTATTATTATTACCATATTTTTTGCTTTCATCAGCAGCTTTATATTTAAAATATTATTATAATTATTACTATTACTGTTACTATTGTTGTTTATTATTATTGTTATTATTATCTTTTTTTAATTAACAAATTTTACAATCAAACTATTATTAGCACTATTTTCATCAGCAGTTTTATATTTAAAATTGTTATTATAATTGCTATTATTATATTACCATTATTATCATTATTGTTATCATTTATTAACATTATTATTACTACTGTTATCATTATCGTTGCATTTATTACTTTCACAAACGATTTCATATTTAAATTGTATTAATATTATTATTACCCAGTTATTACCATTATTATCAGATAATCATTTTTTACTTCATATGGGCCTTGCATTTCAATTATTACTATTATTACAGTTTCTGTCATTATTTATTGCTAATATCATTATATTATTATCATTTTTTTCGGTTATCAAATGATCTTGCATCCAATTTATTTATTATCACTGCTATTATCATTATTATTATTATTATTATTATTATTATATTATTATTATTATTATTATTATTATTATATTATTATTATTATTATTATTACTAGTATTGCCATTATTATATTTGTGTTATAATATTATCATTATTATTACTATTAGAATGAATTGTTGTTTAGATTAAGCGATAATGTACCATCGTTATTGCAATTTATTTCCTCTTTCTCTTCTCTTGTCTTCACCTTCCTTCAAATATCTCATCGTATTACTACTTTACAAATTAAATCATTCAGAGTATTCTCAGAGTAATAATACATTTTAGTAAAATTTAGCACACATATCTCATTTGTTTGCTAATTTATTTTAGAAAAACAAAAAAAGTTGAATTTGCTTTTTTTGTTTTTGAAATCTTTTGGTTTACTTTTTCTTTTTAATAAGACTAAAGTTAAATCTGTGATACAAATTTAGTTTTCTACGAGAGGATTGATTCATTTGATATAATCAAATTTATCAATTTCAATCCTTCATAAACAATGATATTAATACCATCATTGTTTACTGCTACAACTTTTCTTGCTGTACATCGATTTATTATTAATTTTACTGATTTGCCATATTCTAATGAGCTGAATCATCCATATTCCAAACAATTTATTCGTACCAGTCAACAAATTTCGGATGCTCTTCAGACTATTTTAGCAGCATTACCTGGCCAATACAATATTTCTATTGTTAATTACAGGTGTTTTTATTTATTAATTTAATACTCTCATAATTCTTCATATATAAAATATATTTTGTTTAATTTAATTTTTACATATTTCTCATCTTTTTTCTTTCACTCATTTTTGGCTATAAATATAACCATTATTAATTTTTAATTTTCTTTCCTTTCTTTTTTGAAATGAATTGTTTGTAATTAATTTAAAATTTTAGATTTTTAGATTTAGTATTTTTATGATTATTTAACTATAAAAAATTTACTCTACACACTCATACACATAGATATAAATATGACAATTAAGGAAAATTTGATTTCAAAAAGTTCAAATTTGAATTTATCTTAATTCAATTTTATTATATCAAAATGATGAATTGTTTTGTTTTTTTTTTTTTTAAATTGTTTAAAAAATACCACATAGCAATGTTGCAAAATTATTGCCTTTTTTTTCCTATATAAGCAATAAAATAAATAAATGAAAAAAAAAAAAGCAAAAATAAAAAAAATTTTATTTCGCACTTATTAGAAATGCTACCGAACAATACAGGTATCAACCAGTAATTGGTACTTTGGTAACAATCGAGGTAACATCACGAAAAGCTCAACCAAAATTGAGAAAAATCATCGAAAAAGCAATACGAACAGGCTACATTGGTGGATATGGTGTTGGTTTCGATGGTTTTCAATATTATACATTTAAGGGTCAATAAAATATTTCATTCCTTCTTTTTTCTAATTTACCAAAAAAAAAAAATGTTTGATAAATTTTTGAATTTTTGCTTGCAAAATAATTCATTCCATTTTCTCTTTTTCATTCCTTTTTTTTTTGGATTAAATGAAATTCGTTTCAAATTTCTTTTTTTTTTTTTTTTTTTAATTGTTTACATATGAAAAATGATAAGTGAATAAAATAGTATTATTTAATAACTATTAATGCTCCATTGTAAGTACAATTTTAATTTCTTTTTTTAAATTTTTTAAACATTTAATTCATTTAATTTCTTATTTTTAATTTCCGCTTAGCTTTTATATTATAATTTTCCACATTTAAATTTAGATTTCAATTTACACAATATCATTTTATGCATTGAAAATATTAGCTTAATTAAATCATTCAACTAGTAATTGTATTCAATTACTATTAAAAAAGAAAATTTCTTTTTTTTTTTTTTTTTTTTTTAATTTATTCACTTGAATCTTTTTCAAGGAAGAAATTTCCTCTTCAATTTTAAATTTTGTAATGAATTAAACAAAAAATTTAAATAATAATTTAGTTCTTTCTGTTAGTACTTTTTAATTATAAATTAACATATTTAAATGTTTATAATAGGCATAAACTGTACTAATATAATTTGTAATTTTTTTATCAAAATTTATTTTGGAAGAAATATCATTAGTTGTATAAGAAAAAGGTAATTTTTTTACATTTTTATTCTAATTTTATTCATTCTAATTAGAAACGAATAATTCGGGAAATTCTCGAAAGAATGAAAAATTTGTACGAAAAAATGCAAAAACCATGTGATTTGCTTTTTATCGAAAATTACAAATTGTGACAAAATTTAAATTAAATTATTTCATTTAGCGATTATTCTTGTCTTCTCTGCTTTAATTATCAGTCCTTCGACTTCTTCTTTTTAATTTTTATTTAATTTGGACAAATTTAATTTTTGAATTTAGTTGAATGACGCAAGGCGCATATAGACGAAGAATAGCAATAAATATGCAAATTTGTTGTTTATCCAATATATTTTGCACATTCTCTATAGATTTGGTTGCAAAAGATAGTTGATAACAAGCTTTTTCAAATTTGAAGAATGTATTGACATTTGCGCTTGTTGTTAATTTGAAACACATTCGACATTTGCGCTTATTTAATTTGATATACGTTCGATATTTTGAAATATGTTTTACATTTATACATCTTGAGTTTCACTGTGTATTAAATATGTCTAACGATTGCTTGGGAATTGAAATATATCCGACATTTATGCTTCTTAGCTTTAAAATGTATCCGATATTTGCGCGTGTTTAAATTTGAAACATATCTGTTACACTATAAATGTCCGACATTTGCGCTTCTTTAGAATAGATGAAGTGCAAATGTAAGCAGTAGATATTCATTCATTCTTTCTTTTCTTTTTATTAAGTTATCCTTTTTTTTTTTTGATTTGTTTATTTTCTTTCTTTTTTTTTAGCTAAGTTACATTTTTGTTATTTTATTTTATTTTTTCTTGTTTTGGAACACCATTTAAAACAAACAGAGTAAATTAAAAAATTAAATTGGAAAATGTGAAATTTTTTTTTTCAAGAAGTGTTTTTATTTTTTAAGCTTACATGAATTTAAATTTAAATAAAATTACAACAAAAATATCAACTTATCCCTTCATCTTTTTCTCTTTCCATTCTCTCTCTTTCTCACTTGTAGTTAAATTTGATTTAATTCACTAAAGTTAATTTAATAATTACACCAGTGTAATGTTATCAATTAAGCAATGATATTAACAATTTTATTTATAAAACGACATTTAGTAGTGTTGGTGAAATAATTATAATTAAATAAAACAAAAGTGTCATTATAAATGATTACAATTAATTCGTTTATCTGATAGATTTAGCTAGTATTGATTGAAATTTTCATTTTTAAAATTAAGAAATTGTTAAAATACTTTTGAAATGAAACAAAAAATTTTTTAATTGAATGATTAGTTGTATCCTTCGCATTTTAATTAATTAATTTATTACTTTTTCCTTATATATTCTTTTGTAATAGTAAACATAATTTGTAATACTACAATAATTGTAAAAATTTTATAAAATAAAATGTTAGTAATATATCATGAATTTTGAGAATTTTTGATTAATTGATACATTGAATTGCTTATTACTTTAGTTTGATAATTGAAATACTTAATAAAAAAACGAAATTTTCTAATTCATTTAAAATATTATTCTGAAGCAACAAAAAATATCATTTTAAAGTATTTTTTTTTTAAATTTTTTATAGCAAAATTTCTACAAAAGTTTAAGAAATAATATTTTGAATATTACATATTCAAATATAACGTATTATTATGCGTAATTTATACTTACTTTTTTGCACAATTATATTTGAGTTTAATTTTCACCAATAAAATCTTTTCTACATATATTATTTGTGTAAACCTATTTAAAAAAAAAAAAAAATAAATTTGTAGTTATAAAAAAGAAAAAATATAAATAGCAATATTAAGCTATAATAATTTTTTTTTTTAAAAAAAAAAGAATTACTATAATTTACAAATATAAATTTGAAATGAAAAATGTTTAAAAAACGATATTTTAATTTCTGAAAAAAAACAATTATATAATTCGATTTTTTTCTTGTTTGATTTATCAAAATAATTCATCATAATTTTTTTTTTTTTTTGTTAAGTTACTTAAATTTATTTAAAAAAATTTAATTTATTAAAGTAATTTAAAAGTGAGTTATTTCTTATTAGTCATTTCTTTAAATAATTGTAGCATAATTGAAGTGCTTCATTGTGCAATATTTTTCCATTTTTTCAAGTGTCATTGAAAAATTATAATCGTCGGATTTACTTTAACTTTCGAAGTTTTACTTTTATTTTCTTTCTTTCTTTTTTTTTTTTTTTAAAAAAAAAAAAAATCTCACATCTTGCAATTTCTGTTTGTTCAATTACACTAAATCTAAAATTTTTTCATTCATATTTTTTTCTAAATTCAAATAATCAAACATTACATATTTTTTTAAAAGTTAATCTTAATTATCAATTAATCTAAGTTAATCTTCATTACAGAAAATTAATTATTCATAAACAACAAACATTTAATTTGCAAAAAATATATATGTTAGTTTACAAAAAAAAAAAAAAAAAAAACATTTTAGCTTTTTAATTTAACCAAAAATTTTTTTTTTCTTTTTTATATAAACGATGTAATTGCATTTTGCATTTTTTTTTTTTTTTTATAAAATGAAAGTTTTGAAATTATCAATGATAAATAAATAAATAAATAAACAAATCATTATTATCAGATCATTTTGCATATTTATATTCTTATCAGTTAATATTAAACAAAACGACAAATCATTGTTTAGAATTACCAATTATGATGGACTGTTCAAGTTTACAATTCAAATGTGATGATGGGTCATGCATTGATGATAAACAACGATGTGATGGTGATAAGCAATGTTTAGATGGTAGTGATGAAGGTGAATTATTATTATTCTCTATTCTTCTGCTTTTTTTTTTTTTTTTTTTTTTTTGATCTTGATTAAATGATAATAAATAAATCATTGAAAAAGCAAATTCATATGATAAAGGATAAAAAGAAAAGATTTAAATAATAAAAAATTTTAAAAAAAAAAAAGTGCGCTAAAGAATTTTTAATTTGTTTAAATTTTAATTTGTTTAAAAGAAAAATGATAAAATAAAAAAAAATAATAATAAGTAATAAATAAATGTAAAATTATTGCTCAATCGATTGATTCAAATAATTTTGACACTAATATTTATGAGAAATTAAATTATCAAATTATTTCTTAAGCTAATTTGGAATTACTTTTTCTCTTCATTTTTTTTCTTTTTTAATAAATATAACAAAAATTGTTAAATCGTTTAAAAAATTTTTAACAAAAAATAAAATATTTAATTTAATGACTTTTAAAAATGAATTGAAATAATTTTAATGAAAAACATTTTTTAAAAAAAAAAGATAGAATTATTAATTTGCATTAAATTTTACAACTTACTGTAAAAAATAGGTATATTACTGATAAATAATTTTAAAAATTTATTAAAATAACCAAAATTATAAACTTGAAAAAAAAAAAAAAAAAGTAATAAATGAAATAAACAATAATACAAAATTTACTGTTTAATTTTATAGCTAATTGTGAAAATGAAAGAATAATATTGATCTCACCGCATTCAGTCCTTTTACCGGGTGATTCGATTCGAATTTCAGCAAAATTAAATGGCATCTTTTCATCTCATAAGGTTTTCTCTCTTTTTCTTGAAAATATATTTTTTAAATAGTTTTAAAATAAAAATTTGCATATGTATTAAATGTATTACTAGTAAAAACTCTTTTTTTTTTTTTTTTTTAAACGATTATTTATCATTTATATGCTTAAATAATTGTATGTGCTGAAATAAAATAAATTTGTTTTGAAAATTTCCAAAATTTTCAATTTTAACTCTGAGTTGAAATTTCATTAGTATGAACATATTTTTTTTTTGATTGAAATAATTGATTGAAAATGTGGGAAAAAAATATTTTTAACATAAATGAAAGAAAAAAATTTTTTAATTAAAATTTTAATTATTGAATAATAATACATACTATTACATTTTAAAAATGTAATTTTAATAATTTATTCAAATTTTTTTGTTTTTTGTATTAATTGCAATAAAATATTTTAGGCTCGTTGGTTTCATAATGGTAAACCATTAAAAAATGAGAATGGTAGAAGGAATGGAATGATAAGATACTATAATACAACAATGAAATATTACTTATTGATTGATAATATCAGTAGTGATAACAGTGGTGTATATGAGATAAATATCAGTGGCATCAAAAAAGCAATTACTATCAATGTTTCAACAGATAACGGAATTATCAAAAAGCAATGCTTTGATACTGATAACTGCACAGGTTTAAATTTTATTTAAAATTAAAAACAAAAACAAGCAAACAAACATATTTTTTGGCAGAAAATGTCAGATAAGAGAAATAAATAATTATTTAAATTTGCTTTCTTCTTAACAAATATTTTTCATTTGTTTCATTCACTATTTAGAAAATTTCAGTATTGCTTTTTTCTCTATTTTTTATTAAAATATTAACTTTTAAGAAAAACTAAATTATAATTTCAAATGTTATTTCTTATCATAGTTTTTTTGATAAAATATAATAAATGCATACTCATGATATCTCAATTGATAAGTCTTAACAATGATATTCTTTTACAATTTTTCCGGTCGAAATACGCAAATGCTATTAAAAAAAAAAATGATAAGAATGTAAAATAATTGTTGTTCAGTGATACGTTCAAACAATGATAATAGTTAATGTGATAATACTAAACAGTTGATATGATAATATTAATTATCCAGAAAAGGAAAGAAATAAATAAATCCATAAACAAATTTATCAGTCGAATTTTTTGTCGATTACGCAATTAATTCATCATTTTTCGATTTTCATTTTAGCATTATTTATTTTAATGGAATTATCTATAATGAATGTATCGTTTTCCGGTTTTGCTTCAAGAAACGGAATATTTCTTGCTTCTAAATAATTAGTTCAATAAAATAATCAAACTAAAAAATTGATAATTTATTTTAATCAATAATTGAAAGAAAAGCAAAATGCCTGCAAGTTTGTGTTTTATTACCTTTCAAATATATGAAAAATGTTTCTGGGAGAAAAATTATAATTTATTTTTTATCAATTAATTTTCAAATTAACGGAACAATTTATTTTCTGCCAGAAATGTTTAAAATTCTAATATTTAAGGATGAGAAATATTAACAAACAATAAATACTAACAAACATATTGTAAATACTTAAATTAAAAAATCAAAGACAAAAACCGGAAAATACTAATTTCCATAAATTTGCTACCCCAAAATTTTCACATTTGCTTTTATTTGTTTAAAAAAAAAAAAAGATCGATTGGTTGAGAGATTGTAAACAGTAAACAAAATAAGCTAAACATATTTGTTAACTATATTTGTTTACAATTATTTATTGTAAATTAAATTTTAACTAATTAAAATGCATAGCTTAGCTCTTATAATAAATTAATAAAATTTGAATGATCAAATTTCTTCAATCAGAATTTTTTATCGATTGAATAAAATCAAATTCATTTTTGCATTTTTAAATACATTTTCTTTGCATTAAAACTATTTAATTTAACAATAAATGAAATGGATTGTTTAATTTTGATAAAATTCTTTTTTTTTTTTTTTTTTTTTTTACGTAAATAAATTAAATATAAAATAAGATTTTTATTTATCAAAACGTTAACATTTATCAAATTTGTTAAAATTTTAATTAATTTAATTTTTCAATCATTTTTTTTTTTTTTTTTTTCAAAAAATTTGTTTATTTTTAGCAGCTTCATGTGAAAGTGATGAATATTTTTGTCAAATTGATAATTTCTGCTTACCACGAAGTGTCATTTGTGACGGAAAACGTGATTGCACTGATTTTACGGACGAAGCAAACTGCAATACCGCATCACATCACATTAATAAAAAATTGAAATGGTTAACAGCACAAGTAACTGTCAAATGTTTAGATGGTTCTGTACCAGAATTTAGCTTGTAAATTTTTTTTTTTTTTTTTAATTAATTAATTAATTAATAATAGTAGTTTGTTAAGTAATTTATTTTTGATAAAAAGTTTTTACAGAATAAAACAATTTTATAAATATAATTCAGCAATAATTTTACAAAAAAAAAAAAAAAAAAATATAAATTTAACTTTATAATATTAGATATTAGTAATTTTTATTGTTTTTTATATGAATGAAATAGAAAAAATAAATTTCAATATTTATTTTCTTTAATTTTTTTTTTTGTTTTGTTAAGTGAACAACAAAGCAAAATAATTTTATAACTATAATTCAACAATAACTTTACAAAAATACATACACAAAATTTAATTTTATATTTTTATATGCAACTAATTTTTATTGCTTTGTGAAGGAAATTTATTTAAAAAAAAAAAAAAAAAAAAATTTGCTTTTTTCCTTTTTTTGTTTGAATCATTCATTTTTTAAAAGAGTTTAGATCAATCGATAATTTAGTTATCAATTATTAATTTTTCAAAAAAATCAAAATTTTAATTTTGTAATTTTTGCAACTTTATTGCAATGTTAAACAATTTAAATTTATAGATTACTTAATTAAAGTAATTCCAAATACAAATAATTAGTAAAATACCATAAAGTTTCATAAAGTTTATAACATTAATTTTCTTTTAAATTTTACCAAATATTGTGCGTTTTATTTTACTCATTTTTCGTTTTAAAATTTAATTCAAATACATTTTAAAAAAAAGATTGAATAATTAATTTTATATTAAATGAAATTATTTTCAAATGATGCATTTTTCACGTTTTTATTTTCATTTTTTTTTTTTCTTTTTTTATTCTCATCAATTTTTCTATTGACAAAATAGATTACTTTGCATCATTTAAATGATAAACTTCTTTTCTATTCTTCAAAAAGCTTTTGTGTCAACTTTTTTAAAAAGTGAAAATGCAAAATAAAATCTCTTTTCTCTGTCATTTGCAACTAATTTAAAGGGACAATTTTAATTTTGTAATTTTCTTGAAATTTATTTGTTATTTTGCATTCTTCAACACCCTAGACACCACAATAGAGTCAAATTTTGAATTTTTTATTGGTCGAATTTTTTATAAAATTATAAATTTTAAGAATTATTATCTTTTTAATTAAAATTTTGCACTAATTATGTTTAGCGAATTTTTTTTTAGGAAACTAATTCGTTTGTTTTTTTTTTTGTAGTTTAGTTAAATAATTTTTTTTTGAGAAGCAATTAATTAATTTTACGAGTTTTTAAATATGATTCTTGACTTAAGAAAAACTTTGCCAACCAATAAATTGAATTTTATAAAATTGAGCTTTAAAATTTTTCACTTTTTGTTTATAAAAAAAATTTACACGGATTTTTTTATTTTTTTAGTAAAGTGATAAGCTATGAAAATAACACTTGCAATAATTTAATTCATTGATCAAATTGAATTTTTTTTTTTTCATACATCATCTCAATTAACTTTTTATTGTCTTCCTATATTATAATTATAATTTTTATATGAATAAGATATTTAATTTAGAAAAAAAAAAATAATTTTGAAAAATTAATTTCAGACATGGCTCAACATACTGTTGGAGTAATTCTGTTTGTCCATCTCATACAACATGCATCGAAGGAAAATGTTGCAAAACTGATTGTAAGTTATTGTTTTTCCCTAATTTAAAATTTTGAAATCTTGAAGAAAAAAAAACTTCAAAAAGTTTTTTAAATTATTTTGAAACAAAGTTTATTAGTAATTCACATTGTAAATTATGCTTAAAGACAAAAACGAATAAATAGTTAATTAAAAGATATTATTTGATTAGCTTTTCTTTCCTTTTTCTTAATATTTATTAATAATTAACATTTATTTTAACTTAATAATTAATAATAATAATTAATACTTTCTTAATATTTATTAATAATTAAAGAATTAATATTAAACATATGTTTAATTGTTTTAATCAAATACTAATTGAATGTAACTAATAATCGATTGCAATTAAATTAATCATTTATTGATTCAAATTATATTAGTTGTGATTATAAGTGGAGAAAGGATTGGGTATATTGCTAACAATTCATATTTATTTTTTCATTAAATATAATTTATTCAAATTTACCATCAGTAATAAACAGATTTAGCGAACATAAAATTTTAAATTAGTAACAACACAATTAAATTTCAAGTTTTGCTAATTAGTTATAAACATTATTAACATTAAAATAAGTTATAATAAGTAATGTTAAAAATGATAACAACATTTAGGTTTAAAAAGAGAAAAAAATTTACAGCAAATAATTTTTATCGATAATATCTTCACATTACTAATCTATTATTTCGCTTATTTAGAAAAAAAAACCAAAAGATAAGAAAATAAATTTCACGCACGTGAATTACGTGTCATCTTCGTTTAATCTTGCGTAAAATTTTGTAAAAGTACATTGCGCAAAAATAATAAAATAAATGAATTTAAAAAAAAAAATTTCGTTTTTTAGCGTCGTATCACATGCGTCAATGTCCGGAAACGTACTGGGAATGCGGTAGCGGTGAATGCGTTCCGCTAGATGCACGTTGTGATGGTTTGCAAGCATGCGATGATGGATCAGATGAAATGCATTGCGGTTTGCATTTTTATTTTTGCTTTTCATTTTTTTTCCATTTCCATCAAAATTTGGGCAAATTTTATTTTTTTTTATAAAAGTGCAAAATCTTGCATTTAAAAATATCATTCTAAATCATATCATATCACTGATAATATTTATTTATACTATTATTAATAATATTATTTGGTTAGGACAAACCTTAAGAAATAATTTAATTTTATCTTTTTTTTAAAAAAAAAAAATTACAACAATCAAGGAAACTTATAAATTATCAAATATTTTCAAGTATCAATAATTTTCAAATATAATTATAGTAGAAATTTATGCTAGAAATTATTCATAAATAAAAATTTTATCTTTAATGAGTTTAATTTCTTAAAATATTACGCTTAATTTTTTCTTTAAATATTAAATTTAATTTTTCTAAAATATTACATTTTCAATTCATTTTCATTTTTTAAAAATTTTACATGCACACTTCAAGCAAACATTTGAATTTTTTTTTTTTTTTTTTTTTTTCTTTTCTAAACCAAATTCTATTTCTGCTATTTTTTTTTTTTTTTATTTTTTTCCATGCAAAAAATAAAATTAGTGAGTTATTTTTTTAAATTGCTATTTAAAAAAACAAAAAAAAAAAAAATTATTAATCGAAATATCGAAATATTTGATTCTTTTTTTTTTTTTTTCAAATTATTTTTTTGCAAAAAATTTTTTCCTATTATTTTTTCCTGAAAAAAAGAAAAATCTAATTTATTATTTACTTTAACATTATTTTTCTTTCTTCTTTTTTTTTTTTTTTCGCAAAAATTTTTGATTCTTTTTTTTTTTAAATTAGCAATCTTTTTTATAATTATTATTTGTTATTGTTGCTAAATTAATTTTTCGATCAATTTCAATACAAACTTGTGAATAAAAATATGCTAATGTAATTAATAAAATAGCTGGAAAACGTAATTTTAACGTTTCTTCGTACCAAATACGTTTAACAAACATTGAGCCAACTTCATAGCCACCTAAAAAGTAAAAATTTGAGTAAAGGCCAAGAATGAATGGTATAATATGAAGAAATGCAATAAAACGACGAAATGATATATCGTTGATGTGTGTTTCACGCCATTTTTGAATGCCTTTAATTGTATACAATCCTTTGCAACAATATTCCATAAATAAGCCAATAATATTAAGTATTATCCAAATCTAAAAATAAAAATTATAAAACTTTTCTATTGGAAAAAAAAAAAAAAAAAGAGTGAAAAAGTTAATTAAAATAAATGTTTTTTTTGTAATTTTTTCAAAAATTATTTTTAAAATCTGAAAAAAAAAAAAAAATAAATAAATAAATAAATAAACTTTTCTGTTCAAAAAGAAAAATGAATAGAAAAAATAATTATTAAAACGGATTTTTTTTTTTTTTTTCCAAAAATTATTTTTAAAATCTAAAAAAAAAAAAAAAAAAAAAAACGTTTGTTTAAAAAAAAAAAATGAAAAAAAAGTTTTGTTTAAATTCATTCAAATTTAATTCATTTGAAAAAAAGGAAAAAAAAATTTAAAACTATATTTTTAAGCAAATATAATTTAAAAGAAAATTTCCGAAAAAAAAAAAAATGCAACGTAATTCAAAACAAATAAAAAGAATAAAATTTTTCTATTATATCATTTAATTCATTTTTTTAAAAAAAAAAAATGGAAAAAATTTTGTGTAATTTAATTTGAAAAAATATTTAGTACGATAATTCTTCTTTTTTCACTTTTTCTCATTTTTTTTTTTTTTGTCAAATATTCAAAAAAATTTTTTTTTATTTTGTCAATTAAATGTAAATTAAATTGGAAAAAAAATGTCCGTAATTATTTTTTTAAGGAATAAAAGAATAAAATAAAAAATGCTAAAAAAATATTTTCAAAAAAGTTTGATTATAAAATGAAAATAATTGCAACAATTGCTATTTTTTTCAAATATATAATTTTTTATTTTTTGAAATTTAGTATAATTTAAATCCTTTTTTTATTACTATTATTTTAAAATGAAATTACTTGAAAAAAAAAAGGGATAACACAAAATTTTCATTACTATACTTTTTACTAAATATAAGCATATAAAAGTAAAATTAAAGAGTAAAACTACTACTTTGTGTATATACATATATCTATCAGTAAAACTAAGTAATATTAATTTATATATAAGTAAAATTCACTACTTCATATGTCTAAAATTTATAAGTAAAATTTAAAATGAAAAATACTACTATATCTTACTTTGTATATTTATATTTAAGCAAAATTAAATATATAATTCATTCCTATATATGCATACACATAAATAAAATTAAAAAATGAAAAGAAAAACTCCTATATGTATAGGTTATACTAAGTAAAATTAACAGTACACTTACTTATATATACCTCAGTAAAATTAACAATATGCTTATATATATCTAAGTAAAATTTAAAAAAAAAGAAAATTGCCAATATATTTTATGTATATATTTAGCAAAAATAATTATATAAGTGAAATGTGCTGCTATGTGTGCTTTACTAAGTAAAATTTATCAAATAAAATAAAATAAAAAAATTATTTTATACTACTATACATATGTGCCTATAAGGAAAAAGAAAAATTAAAAAAAAAAAAAAAAACGACCATTTTATACTATTCTATATTTAATAAGCAAAATTAATTTATAAATGGGAAGTGATACTATTATATATTTGTATTAATAAGTAAAATTAGGTAAAATTAAATATATAAGTGAAAATCACTACCTTATATGTGTGTAAAGTTATTTATATGTTTCTAAAAGTCATATAAAAATTTACTAAATTTAAAAGCAAAAAAAAAAATGTTTTGTTTTCTTTTTTAAACTTACAATATTTGCATAAGTAATTCCATGCCATAGCAGTACAAAACCATATGATATAATTACACCAAATATTTTACGTTTAATTGAAAAAGTTGGCGTACAAATTGGAATGAAAATATAAGTTTTAAAAAAGCTATAAAGGCCAGGGTCAAAGTAACGCCATGCTTTTGAGTAAAGCGTTAAACGATTGATGCAAATTGGCCCAGCAGCTGGTTCCATATTATCAGCCAAGGCAAAAATACGTGGTAAGCCAAATATCACAACGTATCGAAGATGAAAAAATATTCCTAAAAAGAAAAAAAAAAGAGAAATAAAAATTTTATATTTTTATTCATTAATTGTAATAAATTAAAACAGTAATAATTTATTAGAATTATTGAAATATACATAATAAAATTAAAATAATCAAATAGTTGTTTATGTTTTTTTTAAATGATATAATGTATATTTAATAAAAAATTAAAATTTTTACTTATTAAAATTTTATTTATTTATTTATTTTGATTAAATTAACACAAATTAATAGGTTTATTTATTGAACTAAGACAAATTAAAATAATTATTTATGTATGATTGGACTAATTTTTTTTCTCTTAATGACATTATGTATATTTTAATTTGATTGATAATATAATCAAATAAGAATTTATTTTAGGAATGTTCGCATTTTAGAATGAATACTTTTAAAATTAATTTATTACTTTAAAATAGTACATACTCATATATATCATATATAATAGTAGGAATAATTATGTATGTTTAAATAAAATTTCCCAAAAAAAGTACCTCAATTTATCATTTTATCATTTTAAAAAATTTAGAAAAAGTAAGAAAAAAGATTGGTTGAAATAAAGAAAATTTTTTCTACATCATTAATGCTTTAAAAAATTTAAAAAAAAAAAAATAAAAAAGGATAATAAAAATTTTGTTGCAACTAAAAAATACATATTGAATTTTGCAAAAAAAAAAAAAAAAAAAAAATAATTAATTTAATTAAGAAATATTTTCTATAAATTTTATAAAATATATGTTAATTTAAAGAAAAAATACATTAATTTTATTTTACAGATTAATTAAAATCGTAATAATTTAATATATAATATAATTATAAATTATGTGTTATTTTTTTTCAATGAATGTATTTTTTTTGTTTTTAAATTAATTAAAATTTTTTTAAAAAAAAAAAAACTTTTTTGTTCAAATATCAATTTTGAATAATCAATCAAAAATTTTCAAATAATAAATTAAAATGCTAATAAGAATTTTAATTAAATTATTAAAGAAATGAAAAATATTACCTAATGCCATTCCTAATGAAACAAATTCATTTTTTGGCAAATTTTGCGCATAATCAATATCATAAAGTATCCATTCGAAATACATGAAATGTAACATTAAATAGATAAGTAACCACCAAAATGTAATACGTAGTGCAAAAAATATTACACGTTGCCAATTACGTGTTTTAGTATGACGTTGGCGCATTTGTCGTTCAAATTCCGGATAGATAACAACTAATGTTGTCATATATGGTGGATAAAATGTATAAAAAAGCATACGTATGTAACATTTTAGCAATGTATTATCTTCTGGACGTTTTGCGCCATTTAGCATTTCCAAATTAAATGAAATATATGAAAGTAATGTGTAGCAGATAAAAATAACAACAATTAATGGATTTGGTGATAAGTGATAAGAATAGCGTAGTGATAGATAAAGAATTGGCATTGAACAAAACCATACAATAAGTTGATGGCTAAAAATTTAAATTTAATCAAATGTTAAATTTTGATTAATTTCAAAATTTCTTTTTTAATTTGTTTATTTATCTTTTCTGTAGATTATGAAAAAAAAAAAAAAAAAACATTTAATTGAGATTAAAATATGGTTTATATATTTGTTATTTTAACTTAAATTGTGATAAAAAATTATATTTGTTAGAAAACCATATCATATGTAAATGATTAAAATATGATTTACCATCTTAGTTAGTTCAATTTAAATTATAATAAAAAAATTATATCTGTTAGAAGACTATATTATAAATATGCTATATCACAATAAGTTTATATGTTTATAAAATTAAAATTTAAAAATTTAAAAATGTTATTTGGTTTTTTTCCTTTATTTAATAAATTTATTCAATAAATATAGCAAAAA